CATTTACATCTGTAGAACGTGAAGAACCAGTGGCATCTACATCTGCAGAGCGTGAAGAACCAGTGGCATCTACATCTGTAGAACGTGAAGAACCAGTGGCATCTACATCTCCAGAAGGTGAAGAACCAGTGGCATCTACATCTCCAAAAGGTGAAGAACCAGTGGCATCTACATCTGCAAAACGAGAAGAACCAGTGACATTAATATCAACAGAATACGAAAAAACAGTGACATGTACATCTGTAGCACGTAAAGAACCAGTGGCATCTACATCTGCTGAACGTGAAGAACCAGTGGCATCTACATCTGCAGAGCGTGAAGAACCAGTGGCATCTACATCTGCAGAGCGTGAAGAACCAGTGGCATCTACATCTGCAGAACGTGAAGAGAACGTCAATAACCAGTGGCATCTCCATCTGCAGAACGTGAAGAACCAGTGGCATCTACATCTGCAGAACGTGAAGAACCAGTGGCATCTACATCTGCAGAGCGTGAAGAACCAGTGGGATCTACATCTGCAGAACGTGAAGAACCAGTGGCATCTACATCTGCAGAACGTGAAGAACCAGTGGCATCTACATCTGTAGCACGTAAAGAACCAGTGGCATCTACATCTGCTGAACGTGAAGAACCAGTGGCATCTACATCTGCAGAGCGTGAAGAACCAGTGGCATCTACATCTGCAGAGCGTGAAGAACCAGTGGCATCTACATCTGCAGAACGTGAAGAGAACGTCAATAACCAGTGGCATCTCCATCTGCAGAACGTGAAGAACCAGTGGCATCTACATCTGCAGAACGTGAAGAACCAGTGGCATCTACATCTGCAGAGCGTGAAGAACCAGTGGGATCTACATCTGCAGAACGTGAAGAACCAGTGGCATCTACATCTGCAGAACGTGAAGAACCAGTGGCATCTACATCTGCAGAGCGTGAAGAACCAGTGGCATCTACATCTGCAGAACGTGAAGAATCAGCGGCATCTACATCTGCAGAGCGTGAAGAACCAGCGGCATCTACATCTGTAGAACGTGAAGAACCAGTGGCATCTACATCTGCAGAGCGTGAAGAACCAGTGGCATCTACATCTGCAGAACGTGAAGAACCAGTGGCATCTACATCTGCAGAGCGTGAAGAACCAGTGGCATCTACATCTGCAGAAGATAATGAGCTTTGGGTCTCCATGTGAGTCTATGGGTCTCTGTGTGAGTAGTCTATGGGTCTCGGTGTGATGAGTCTATAGGTCTCTGTGTGAGTCTATGGGTCTCTGTGTGAGTAGTCTATGGGTGGCTGTGTGATGAGTCTATGGGTTTCTGTGTGAGTCTATGGGTCTCTCTGTGAGTAGTCTATGGGTCTCTGTGTGAGTAGTCTATGGGTGTCTGTGTGAGTAGTCTATGGGTGTCTGTGTGATGAGTCTATGGGTCTCTGTGTGAGTCTATGGGTCTCTGTGTGAGTAGTCTATGGGTCTCTGTGTGAGTCTATGGGTGTCTGTGTGAGTCTATGGGTCTCTGTGTGAGTAGTCTATGGGTCTCTGTGTCAGTCTATGGGTGTCTGTGTGATGAGTCTATGGGTCTCTGTGTGAGTAGTCTATGGGTCTCTGTGTGAGTAGTCTATGGGTGTCTGTGTGGTGAGTCTATGGGTCTCTGTGTGAGTAGTCTATGGGTCTCTATGTGAGTAGTCTATGGGTCTCGGTGTGATGAGTCTATGGGTCTCTGTGTGAGTCTATGGCTCTCTGTGTGAGTAGTCTATGGGTGTCTGTGTGATGAGTCTATGGGTCTCTGTGTGAGTAGTCTATGGGTGTCTGTGTGATGAGTCTATGGGTCTCTGTGTGAGTAGTCTATGGGTCTCTGTGTGAGTAGTCTATGGGTGTCTGTGTGAGTAGTCTATGGGTGTCTGTGTGAGTAGTCTATGGGTCTCTGTGTAAGTAGTCTATGGGTCTCTGTGTGAGTAGTCTATGGGTGTCTGTGTGAGTAGTCTATGGGTGTCTGTGTGAGTAGTCTATGGGTGTCTGTGTGAGTAGTCTATGGGTGTCTGTGTGAGTAGTCTATGGGTCTCTGTGTGAGTAGTCTATGGGTATCTGTGTGATGAGTCTATGGGTCTCTGTGTGAGTAGTCTATGGGTATCTGTGTGATGAGTCTATGGGTCTCTGTGTGAGTAGTCTATGGGTGTCTGTGTGATGAGTCTATGGGTCTCTGTGTGAGTAGTCTATGGGTGTCTGTGTGATGAGTCTATGGGTCTCTGTGTGAGTAGTCTATGGGTCTCTGTGTGAGTAGTCTATGGGTGTCTGTGTGATGAGTCTATGGGTCTCTGAGTGAGTAGTCTATGGTGTCTGTGTGATGAGTCCATGGGTCTCTGTGTGAGTAGTCTATGGGTGTCTGTGTGAGTCTATGGGTCTCTGTGTGAGTCTATGGGTCTCTGTGTGATGAGTCTATGGGTCTCTGTGTGAGTAGTCTATGGGTGTCTGTGTGATGAGTCTATGGGTCTCTGTGTGAGTAGTCTATGGGTGTCTGTGTGAGTAGTCTATGGGTGTCTGTGTGAGTAGTCTATGGGTCTCAGTGTGAGTCTATGGGTCTCTGTGTGAGTAGTCTATGGGTGTCTGTGTGATGAGTCTATGGGTCTCTGTGTGAGTAGTCTATGGGTGACTGTGTGAGTAGTCTATGGGTGTCTGTGTGAGTAGTCTATGGGTCTCAGTGTGAGTCTATGGGTCTCTGTGTGATGAGTCTATGGGTCTCTGTGTGAGTAGTCTATGGGTGTCTGTGTGAGTAGTCTATGGGTGTCTGTGTGAGTAGTCTATGGGTCTCAGTGTGAGTCTATGGGTCTCTGTGTGAGTAGTCTATGGGTGTCTGTGTGATGAGTCTATGGGTCTCTGTGTGAGTAGTCTATGGGTGACTGTGTGAGTAGTCTATGGGTGTCTGTGTGAGTAGTCTATGGGTCTCAGTGTGAGTCTATGGGTCTCTGTGTGATGAGTCTATGGGTCTCTGTGTGAGTAGTCTATGGGTGTCTGTGTGATGAGTCTATGGGTCTCTGTGTGAGTAATCTATGGGTCTCTGTGTGAGTAGTCTATGAGTGTCTGTGTGAGTAGTCTATGGGTCTCTGTGTAAGTAGCCTATGGGTCTCTTTGTGAGTAGTCTATGGGTGTCTGTGTGAGTAGTCTATGGGTGTCTGTGTGAGTAGTCTATGGGTCTCTGTGTAAATATTCTATGGGTGTCTGTGTGAGTAGTCTATGGGTCTCTGTGTGAGTCTATGGGTCTCTGTGTGAGTAGTCTATGGGTCTCTGTGTGAGTAGTCTATGGGTGTCTGTGTGAGTAGTCTATGGGTCTCTGTGTGAGTAGTCTATGGGTGTCTGTGTGAGTAGTCTATGGGTGTCTGTGTGAGTCTATGGGTCTCTGTGTGAGTAGTCTATGGGTGTCTGTGTGAGTAGTCTATGGGTGTCTGTGTGAGTAGTCTATGGGTCTCTGTGTGAGTAGTCTATGGGTGTCTGTGTGAATAGTCTATGGGTCTCTGTGTGAGTAGTCTATGGGTGTCTGTGTGAGTAGTCTATGGGTGTCTGTGTGAGTCTATGGGTCTCTGTGTGAGTAGTCTATGGGTGTCTGTGTGAGTAGTCTATGGGTGTCTGTGTGAGTAGTCTATGGGTCTCTGTGTGAGTAGTCTATGGGTGTCTGTGTGAGTAGTCTATGGATCTCTGTGTGAGTAGTCTATGGGTGTCTGTGTGAGTAGTCTATGGGTGTCTGTGTGAGTAGTCTATGGGTTTCTGTGTGAGTAGTCTATGGGTCTCTGTGTGAGTAGTCTATGGGTGTCTGCGTGAGTAGTCTATGGGTCTCTGCATGATGAGTCTATGGGTCTCTGCGTGGGGCAGTGTCAATCCTCACCGATGACAGAGAGGTTGACCCTCCCCTCGAAGTTGTCGTGGGGGAAGGTGGCCACGTGGCAGAGGAAGAGGCCCCCGTCGCCAGCCCGCACGTCCAGCAGCTCCAGCGAGACGTCGCCGGGAGGCCCCCCAACGCGGAACCGCAGTCGGCCCGCGAGGGACGAGTTGGAGTACGCCGTGCCGTGCAGCGGGCTGAGTGCGGCCAAATTGGCCCCCGCCCAGACGTTGCCACGGGAGGCCTTCAGCCAGTTGGCCTGCACCACCACCACGGCCGCACCCCACAGAACGCAGCGCAGCAGCGCCACCTTCTGGCCGACCACCGCCGTGACCTGGCCGTCCGTGTCGACACCCACACGAGGGACTGGGTGGGAAGACAACACAGAGACCCATAGACTACTCATAGAGACCCATAGACTACTCATAGAGACCCATAGACTACTCATAGAGACCCATAAACTACTCACACAGACACCCATAGACTACTCACAGAGACCCATAGACTACTCATAGAGACCCATAGACTACTCACGCAGAGTCCCATAGACGACTTAGAGACCGACAAGACTACTCACGCAGAGATCCATAGAGTACTCATAGAGACCCATAGACTATCCTCTTTGGTAATTTCGATAAAGTCACGTAGAATGAGAATAAAATAATAAATTGATAAAATAACACAATAATATTCTTACGACGTATCGGCCACAACACAAGCGGCCATCATCAGGTGAAGGGACGAGACTGTCTGGAGAACAGCGCTGGTCTGAGCGTGGCTGTGTTCGCTCCAGCGCTGTCCTCGTGTTCGCTCCAGCGCTGTCCTCCAGACAGTCTCGTCCCTTCACCTGATGAAGGCCGCTTGTGTTGTGGCCGAAACGTCGTGAGAATATTATTGTGTTATTTTATTTTATCAATTTATTTTATTCTCATTCTACGTGGTGACTTTACCGAAAGAACCAAAGATGAATCCTTGCAGTCACGAAAGCTTTAAATCGAAATCCATAGACTACTCATAGAAACTCATAGACTACTCACGCAGAGTCCCATAGACCACTCAGAGACCCACAAGACTACTCACACAGAGACCCATAGACCACTCATAGAGATCCACAAGACTACTCACACAGAGACCCACTTCACACGCACAAAAATACCTCTCACTCATTCACCCAGCCACCCACTCACCCACGGTGCTGTGTGGTGGAGGGACGGAGACACACGACAGTGGAGACCACTCCCCTGCCTTCCACCGTGGCAAGTCGGCTACCATTCTCACGCGGACGCAGTACTCATCCTCGCGTCCCGGCAGAAGCATCATTCGGTGTTGGTACCGGCATCCGATGAAGCGCTCCTGGCAGTAAGCATCATCATCATCAGTAGTAGCAGCAGTAGTAGTAGCAGAAACAGCATCATCATCAGTAGTAGTAGCATCATCAGTAGTAGTGTCATTGGTAGTATCATCATCATCAGTAGCAGCATCGCCACCCACCCACTCAACCACGCACATCTCCCGCCACAACCTCCCGACCCCCGTCACAACTCCCGCAATCTCTCACCGTGAGTTGAACGCCGCCTCTTGTCGAAATGTCAACCTGATGGTGGAACTTCACGTCGTGCGACACCAGCGCCCTCCACCCCCGCCCGACGGAGACCAACAACGACAGCTTCCGCACCTCCGGCTCTCCGTCGACCACCGCCTCCAACTCCCCAGCCACCCCAGGACCACCGTCATCACGGCGGTCATCGTCACCGCCGTCACGGTCATCGTCATCGCCGTCGTCGTTGTCGCTGTAGCCATCATCGTCGTTGTCTTCATCGTCACCCACAACACCGCACTCCTCATCCTCATCCTCACCACCATCGCCCTCCTCCTCCTCCTCCCCCCGCGTCAGTTTGTCGAGCCTCAGGGTGAACGACGGAGCGCTGAGCACAGCTGAGACACGGGAGAGGGGGGGTCATGGCGAGGGATGTTTGTGTGATCTCTCCCTGTCCTACAGAGTGAGTGAGTGAGTGGAGTTTGTGTGATCTCCCCCTGTCCTACAGAGCGTGTGAGTGGAGTTTGTGTGATCTCCCCCTGTCCTACAGAGTGTGTGGAGTTTGTGTGATCTCCCCCTGTTCTACAGAGTGTGTGAGTGGAGTTGGTGTGATCTCCCCCTGTCCTACAGAGTGTGTGGAGTTTGTGTGATCTCCCCCTGTCCTACAGAGTGAGTGAGTGGCGTTTGTGTGATCTCCCCCTGTTCTACAGAGTGAGTGTGAGTGGAGTTTGTATGATCTCCCCGTTCTACAGAGTGAGTGGAGTTTGTGTGATCTCCCCCTGTCCTACAGAGTGAGTGGAGTTTGTGTGATCTCTCGCTGTCCTACAGAGTGAGTGGAGTTTGTGTGATCTCCCCCTGTTCTACAGTGTGAGTGGAGTTTGTGTGATCTCCCCCTGTTCTACAGAGTGAGCGAATGGAGTTTGTGTGATCTCTCCCTGCCCTACAGAGTGAGTGAGTGGAGTTTGTGTGATCTCCCCCTGTCCTACAGAGTGAGTGAGTGGAGTTTGTGTGATCTCCCCCTGTGCTACAGAGTGAGTGAGTGGAGTTTGTGTGATCTCCCCCTGTCCTACAGAGTGAGTGGAGTTTGTGTGATCTCCCCCTGTTCTACAGAGTGAGTGGAGTTTGTGTGATCTCCCCCTGTTCTACAGAGTGAGTGAGTGGAGTTTGTGTGATCTCCCCCTGTCCTACAGAGTGAGTGAGTGGAGTTTGTGTGATCTCCCCCTGTTCTACAGAGTGTGTGAGTGGAGTTTGTGTGATCTCTCCCTTTCTTACAGAGTGAGTGAGTGGACTTTGTGTGATCTCCCCCTGTCCTACAGAGTGAGTGGAGTTTGTGTGATCTCCCCCTGTCCTACAGAGTGAGTGAGTGGAGTTTGTATGATCACCCCCTGTCCTACAGAGTGAGTGAATGGACTTCGTGTGATCTCCCCCTGTTTTATAGAGTGAGTGGAGTTTGTGTGATCTCCCCCTGTCCTACAGAGTGAGTGGAGTTTATGTGATCTCCCCCTGTCCTACAGAGTGAGTGAGTGGAGTTTGTGTGATCTCTCCCTGTTCTACAGTGTGTGAGTGGAGTTTGTGTGATCTCCCCCTGTCCTACAGAGTGTGTGGAGTTTGTGTGATCTCCCCCTGTTCTACAGTGTGAGTGGAGTTTGTGTGATCTCCCCCTGTCCTACAGAGTGTGTGGAGTTTGTGTGATCTCCCCCTGTCCTACAGAGTGAGTGGAGTTTGTGCGATCTCCCCCTGTTCTACAGAGTGTGTGAGTGGAGTTTGTGTGATCTCCCCCTGTCCTACAGAGTGTGTGAGTGGAGTTTGTGTGATCTCCCCCTGTCCTACAGAGCGAGTGGAGTTTGTGTGATCTCCCCCTGTCCTACAGAGTGAGTGTGTGGAGTTTGTGTGATCTCCCCCTGTTCTACAGAGTGAGTGGAGTTTGTGTGATCTCCCCCTGTCCTACAGAGTGAGTGGAGTTTGTGTGATCTCCCCCTGTCCTACAGAGTGAGTGAGTGGAGTTTGTGTGATCTCCCCCTGTCCTACAGAGTGAGTGAGTGGAGTTTGTGTGATCTCCCCCTGTCCTACAGAGTGTGTGAGTGGAGTTTGTGTGATCTCCCCCTGTCCAACAGAGTGAGTGAGTGGAGTTTGTGTGATCTTCCCCTGTCCTACAGAGTGAGTGGAGTTTGTATGATCTCCCCCTGTTCTACAGAGTGAGTGGAGTTTGTGTGATCTCCCCCTGTCCTACAGAGTGAGTGGAGTTTGTGTGATCTCCCCCTGTTCTATAGAGTGAGTGAGTGGAGTTCGTGTGATCTCCCCCTGTCCTACAGAGTGAGTGGAGTTTGTGTGATCTCCCCCTGTCCTACAGAGTGAGTGGAGTTTGTGTGATCTCCCCCTGTCCTACAGAGTGAGTGAGTGGAGTTTGTGTGATCTCTCCCTGTCCTACAGAGTGAATGAGTGGAGTTTGTGTGATCTCCCCCTGTCCTACAGAGTGAGTGGAGTTTGTGTGATCTCCCCCTGTCCTACAGAGTGAGTGGAGTTTGTGTGATCTCCCCCTCTCCTACAGAGTGAGTGGAGTTTGTGTGATCTCTCCCTGTCCTACAGTGAGTGAATGAGTGAGTGGAGTTTGTATGATCTCCCCCTGTCCTACAGAGTGAGTGAGTGGAGTTTGTGTGATCTCCCCCTGTGCTACAGAGTGAGTGAGTGGAGTTTGTGTGATCTCCCCCTGTCCTACAGAGTGAGTGGAGTTTGTGTGATCTCCCCCTGTCCTACAGAGTGAGTGAGTGGAGTTTGTGTGATCTCCCCCTGTGCTACAGAGTGAGTGAGTGGAGTTTGTGTGATCTCCCCCTGTCCTACAGAGTGAGTGAGTGGAGTTTGTGTGATCTCCCCCTGTGCTACAGAGTGAGTGAGTGGAGTTTGTGTGATCTCCCCCTGTCCTACAGAGTGAGTGGAGTTTGTGTGATCTCCCCTTGTGAGCCGAAGACACACACACAGGCAGAAAGAGTCATAGACATACACAGCGACACACACAGACAAAGATGACAAAGATCCTCCGTGTAGCCTGAAAAATACCATTGGGGCAAGTGCTGTTAGTGAGCACCAGACAGACACGGACAAAGAGAGACACAGAGAGAGAGACACAGAGAGACACACACACACAGAGACACAGAGAGAGAGAGACACAGAGAGACACACACACACAGACACAGAGAGAGACACACACACAGAGACACAGAGAGAGAGACACACACACAGAGACACAGGCATATGTACAATCTCGTGCCACTCACTTTCCATCAAGGGCAGGACCACAACCGCGACCCAGGGTGAGGATCGTGACGGCGAGGATGAGAAGGAGAATCTCACACGGAGGAGGTAGCGGTCACCGGGATCGTCCAGCGCCGAGGAGACGTCGCACCGTGTCTCCGTTGTTGCAGCGCAGACGGTCTGCCAGCGGGCTCGTCTGAAGCTGCGCAGACAGAGACACAGGGAGGAGTGGTGAGGGTGGTGAGGAGCCAGTGGGTGAGAGAGACGTGTGTGTGTGTGAGTGAGTGGGTTGGTGGGTGAGTGGGTTGGTGAGTGAGTGGGTGAATGGGTGTGTGTGTGAGTGGGTTGGTGGGTGAGTGGGTTGGTGAGTGAGTGGGTGAGTGGGTTGGTGAGTGGGTGAATGGGTTGGTGAGTGAGTGGGTGAATGGGTGAGTGGGTGATTGAGTGGGTGAGTGAGTGGTTTGGTGAGTGAGTGGGTTGGTGAGTGGGTTGGTGAGTGAGTGGGTGGGTGAGTGGGTTGGTGAGTGAGTGGGTGAGTGGGTAAGTTGGTTGGTGAGTGAGTGGGTGAGTGGGTTGGTGAGTGAGTGGGTGAGTGAGTGGGTTGGTGAGTGAGTGGCTGAGTGAGTGAGTTGGTGAGTGAGTGAGTGGGTGAGTGGGTTGGTGAGTGGGTGAGTGGGTTGGTGAGTGAGTGGGTAAGTGAGTGGGTTAGTGAGTGGGTGAGTGGGTTGGTGAGTGAGTGGCTGAGTGAGTGAGCATCTCACAGTTTGCTCTGAACTCTGTATGTAACATTCAGGAACGTTGAGTTGGTCGTGGTCGTGGTGGTCGAGTTGATGGTTAAAGGATCAACAAGTGGGGGTCTATCCCCTCCATCCCCACTGGGAGCCGCTTCAACGGGGTCCCAGCAAAGGGTCGCCAGGAGGTCTCGAGACTCCAAACGAACATTCAGTGGGAACAGCGGAGCTGGGCAGATGGGGAAAAAACACTCAAGAGTGCGCTAACCACTGCACCACCACTCCTCACTCACACACAGTGCGTTAACCACTGCACCACCACTCCCCACACACTTACACACAGTGTGCTAACCACTGCACCACCACTCCACACACACAGTGCGTTAACCACTGCACCACCACTCCCCACTCACACCCACACAGTGCGCTAACCACTGCACCACCACTCCCCACTCACACACACACAGTGCGCTAACCACTGCACCACCACTCCCCACTCACATACACACAGTGCGTTAACCACTGCACCACCACTCCCCACACACACAGTGCGTTAACCACTGCACCACCACTCCCCACACACAGTGCGCTAACCACTGCACCACCACTCCCCACACACTCACACACAGTGCGCTAACCCCTGCACCACCACTCCCCACTCACACTTACACAGTGCGCTAACCACTGCACCACCACGCTCCACACAATCACAACCTGGCACCCGATTTATCGACCACCTCGGGCTCTGCTCACCGTGGCTGCTGCACGTGACGAGGTGGTGGAGGAGGAGGAGAGGCAGGATGAAGGGGAAGAGTAGGCCAAGTTTGTAGAGTTTCGACATCGCCATTAACCCCACACGCAGCCAAGCGCCCGCCTCACCCAAGTCACGTGCTGAGGAAATCGATTCAAGGTTAAATAAAAAAAATTGGATCGATTCCTATGGGGATAACAAATGCGAATCGATAGTGGTCAAAAATGTAGCCGATGGCATCGATCCCTATTGGGACTGCATTGGAATTGACGTTGGTCGTGAGTGTAAAATGGAATCGAATACATTTTCGATAACATGGGAATTGATTATGGCGATTTGTTCTAATAACATAGGAATCGATCTAGCT